ATCAAGCTTCTGAGTATCTGTTGTATCTAGGGCCCTGTTCTAGATATTAAGGATAAAGAGGTATTGTTCATAGTGACTTTCTCCACTGTATTCCTCAATTCATATCTCCTACTGGCAAATCTTCCTTATAATCTTACACCCACATTTTATTTTCCATTAGATACCCCTCCCCTCTCCCAACTGCTGCCTGTTTCTTTAACCTTCTATGTTCCATTTCTTTTGTTTCCTTCAATTCCCTAGTACTCTCAAGTTCCCATTCTGCTCAGATATGCATTAACAAAAAATTCTCTGGGCTCCAGCTTCTTTTTTCTCCTCCCCTCCTTCCTTCCTTCCCTGGCTCCAGTGGCAGCCAAAAGGCTCTGCCCTCAAAATCAAAGGTTTCCACAAGGAAACCAGAGAATAGAGAAATAATGGAAGTCTGTCTACTGGCAGCAAATGGGCTGCTAGGGAATATTCTAGTGCCTTCAGGAAGTGAAAAATGTCTGCTTCTGGAGAGTAAATGGTTCTGGAATGAAGAGAATTGTGGGAATGTTGGGATATCAAGGAGAAGGAAGCTGCATTGGTTCCTTATTATTTATCAGTAGCTAGTTATAGTGGGGAGAAGAGCCCACTTAGCCTAATAGCAATTAAGAATAGCCTGAATAAAACTTTATTATAACACCACTTTCTCTCTTGCTTTTTTTCTTACTGGACATAGAGTAAGTGGTTTTCATAAAATCTGGGTTGAAAGGAACCTCAGAAGCCACCAAGAGCACTCAGTACTTGAATCCTTTCTATAATATTCCTGAGAAGTAGTCAAGCAGTCTTCCCTTGAGAACCTCTAGTGACGGGGAATAACATATCCTGGGGCAGCCAATACCACTTGGAGACAGCTCTCATCACTGTAAAGTTTTTCATTACATCAAGCTCAAAACTGTTTGTTTTTGTTTTAAGACCTTTCCAGTCATCTTCGGAATATGCCTTTTCCATTCAGGCCATCATCTCCCTCTCCTCCCCATCCCCTTTGGACTTGTCCATGGTACTACTCTGGGCTTTGTCCAGCTTTTTCTTTTAACTCACTGGATCCATACCTTCATTTCACTTACCTGCCACCTCCAAAGGATACACTCCGGCCTTCATCTTCTCCTTCTTATCCCCTTCCCCAATCCTTGGACTTTCTCCTTGGAATTATCTTAGACTCTGAATGGCTAGCTTTCCTTTTATCATACCTGAATCTAGTCTCTCATTTACTCCCTACCCACTTTGCAGATCCCCTTTACATGTTGTCTTGCCCCATTAGAAAATAAGTTCCTTGAAGGTAGGGACTGCTTCAACTAGTTATCTTTAACTATTCCCTAGTTCTTTGTTAACAAAAAGAAAAAAATGAGGAAGGGGGGGATGTCTGAAGAAGACTGCCAAGAATTAGATGTTTGGGAAATTCTTTTACGAGATGAGCAATACCAAATTGCTTTGTATTTGAAAGAATGGAAACATTAATAATCTAGTTAAACATATACTTTACAGTTTTCGAAGGCAGTCACATTTCATCTTTTTGAAATATATCTAAAGAAAAAGTCTGTTAGAATAACTTAATAGTCAGTTACATCATTTAGGAGATAAGTGCTTCTGCAATAAAAAAGACTAGTGTTCTGGACTAAATCAACTAAGATGAAATTTAATAGGGACAAATAAAGCTAAGGTTTTATGTTTGGCTAAAAAAAACCCCCAACTTTACAAATACAAATGATGTTAGCAGAATTCATATAAAAATTTATTTTTAAGTGGACTGCAAAAGCAGCTCAAAGTAGAATATTCTTAACATGAGCACAATATGGCAGTTAAGAAAGTTAGTGTGACATTAGGCTACAGTGAGAAAGGGACAACATCAAAGTATTTAGGAAACAATAGTCATGTTGTACTCTGCTCTAACAGGTTATGTTAAGTATTGTGCTTAAGACTGGGCCCCACATTTTATGAAAGGTAATGATAAATTCAAGAGCTCAGAGGAGGGCAACACAGATGGTGAAGGGCCTGGAGTTCATGTCATATGAGGGTTGGATGAAAGAAGTGAGGGTGTTTAGCCTATAGCAGAAGGTGCTACAATAGCTACCTTCAAGTATCCAACAAGCTGCTGTGTGGAAAAGGTTAGGTTTGTTTGATTTGGTCCAAATGTCACAAAGAAATAAATTTAGACCTATGTTTGACAGGTATAAACACTTCTTTAGAATTAGTAATATTCAAAGAAGAATAGATTGCCTTAAGGGTAGTGGGTTTTCCTTCACTGGAAGACTTATTTTAAGCAAAGGTCAGAAGACCACTCATTTGGTACATTTTTATTTTTTAAAATTTTTAGGCAATTGCGGTTAAGTGACTTGCCCAGGGTCACACAGCTAGTAAGTGTCAAGTTGGTCTGAAGCCATATTTGAACTCAGGTCCTCCTGACTTCAGGGCTGGTGCTCTATCTACTGTGCCACCTACCTGCCCCAGTTTCGTACATTTTAAAGGGGGGCTCCTTTTCATGTATGAACCAATGACTACATGGTCAGAATTCCCTTCTAACTCTGAAAATCTGATTGTGACTTGGTTAGACTATACCTAACAGTACTATATTCAATTTTTGTTATACCATATTAGAAGACAGTCAAGGTCCTTGAGTACATTCTATTTAAGAGCTGGTTCAAAGAACTGAAAATGCTTAGAGAACTCTTCAAACATGTGAAGGGTTGTCAAGTTGAGTAGGGATTACTTTTTTTGTTTGGCCTCAGATGGGAAGAACTAGAACTGAATGGTAGAAGATGCAGAGAAAGATTTAGGCTCAATTTAAAGAAAAACTTCAAGAGTTAGAGTTGTCCCCAAACAGAACTGGCTGGCTTGGCCTAGTGCTGAGTTTCCCCTCCCTGGAGGTTTGCATTATTGTAGAGAGAATCTTGTTCAGGCATTGGTTGGAGTAGATAGCTTTTGAAGTCCGTTCTCTGATTTTGTTAAGTACCATGCACTGGAGTTGACCTCAGTAGTGTGCAATTAAGGATGAAGCATGTACAGAAATAACTATAAGGCAGAATGCACTAAGTTCAATGTGTTATGAGAAATCTGAGGGTGGAGAGTATATTTTAAGCTGGAGTAATTAAGGAAGACTTTATGCAGATGTCACTTGAGTTGGGCCTAGAGGGAACAGGTGGTAAATCTATTCTAGGCATTAGAGACAGCATGAACAAAGACAGTGAGATGGAGAGGGATTGCATGACATCAGTCCAATTTGGCTGGAATGCAGAGTTCATCAGAAGCAATTATTTGAGCGTTATGGCTGGAAAGGCGGGTTGGAGCCAAACTGGGGAGATTAGAATGATCAGCGAATGAATGAATGTGAAAGTGCTTTGTAGTTAGAGCCACAAATATGCACCAACTATTATTATCAACATGTTCCTAGGGAAGTTGATATTTCTAGGACCATATGATTTTGCAACCTAAAAATGGTTAAAATGTCCTTCCCTTTTTACTAACTTCATTCTCATAGTTTAGCCCAATTGTTTTCCTCTACTAAAATGTACTATTTCCTGCTTTTCCTCTGAAGCCATCCAACATATGTGAGTGTTTTCTAACTTGCACCATTGGTAGCGATTTCTTAGTAGGGATTTCTCAGTCAGGTCCAGGGTGCATTTGATGACCTCTGAAGTCCCTTCCAACCCTAAGATTCTGTAAAAATCAAGGTAGTTATTTTATGTCCAGTCTGAAAAAAACAAAGGGGTAAAAAAGAGTGTCATAATCAAATTTTATTCAGCTTAACTCCTAAGTTAATCAGGCTGATCTCCCTGATACAAGTCTTTTGGTCATAAGTGAAAATAAGCCAATGATTTGACAGTAGTTCTAAGCAGACACCTGACACTGTTCTTAGATACTGTACAATAAATATCACTGGCTTGTTGACTACAACAGATTTATATGAGAAAGTATAAATGCCAGATTTTTATGGGTGAAAAAGTGTACTATCTGTTACTCCCATTAATAACCATTGATAATTTTTTTATTTAAGTGCAAAATAATATCATCCTATAAATTAGACCACAAACAATGGAAATTGCACACTTAGCAACTATACTTATTATCACAGAAAGTTAAGTGTGTTTACAAAAAGGGACGGAAATTTCTAAAAACTGATCTTTTACTAACTCCAACACATGAAGTGACAATATTTTTTATACTCTCTGCTTTAAAAAAAAGTCACATTTATTTGAACAGCCAAGAAAAAAATTGCAATTTATTAAGTATCAACGAAGTTTCGTACTTTTGAAAGCAACTTTCGGTGCATGTTCTTCAACAATCACATTCTATGAGGAAAAAACATTAAAAGCCACAAACTTTTTTTTTTTAAATCTCAGAGTTACAGACATCTTTAATGCAAAATAAAAGACAAAAATTAAACACAGATTTTTTTACTTCCATCCCCAATTTTAAAATATCGGTTGTTTTTCTACAATTCAATGCTAGACTTCAGCATGGAAAATTGTATGTATATAAGCACACACACATATATTTGATATACATATTCAGCTATATAGATCAAATATATATAATGTATGTAATGGCAATGATATGCAATTACTCTGAGGAAGTTTTATTTAGCTAAATACACTACTAAAACTTGAGGAAAAAAGTACTGAACCCAGTTTGTGCATAGTTCATGATCCTCTATAAAACCAGCTTTTGTTGATTTGCCAACTTTCAGGACCCTCTTTTTTTTTTTTTTTTTTGATAAAACCATTAAAAAGCTAATTAAAAAAAATGTAATGCACAAGTTTCCTGATCCAAGCAGGCAGGGAGCACAATGTTCATATATATATTTTTAAAAACATACTTGAAAGTATGCTATTCCATTGTCTTTCTTCCTTTCAAAACAATCAAAACATTGATCATTTTTAAAACATAAAGCAATTTTTTTTAATATATAAAGCACTCTTCAAACATCTATTTCTTTTGAGTCCATTATTTGGTAAATATGTAACTGCTACACATTAGATTAGGTATTTTTTTTGTGTCTCTTTTTCGTTGTTGTTGTTGTTGTTTTTTTTTTTTAATAATATCTTCAGTGCTAGGAGTTGGGTTTAAAAATACATGAAATGGTGTGGAGTTGCTCCTCGGGAAACCCGGCTTTCCTGAGACCTCTTCCACCATGTGCAAGATAGTGACCACAAAGTTTTCGCCACTTTGACGAAGAGGAAGAAAAAAAAATAACAAAAAGTACACAACAATGGCCAAAGAAAGGATAATATAACAACACTGTTCAATCCCAGAGCTCTGAAGTAGCATATCTTCATTCTGAAAATAGGTTTCTTTAGCGATGGAAGTCTTTTTTTTTTTTTATTCCTTTTAAAATTTTATTTTAAAGTTTGAAGGAGAAAAAAAGGTCTGTAAACAGGTGGGAGCCAAACCATTGGCTCCTCTAAAAGCAGTCTAAACCTATGTCCCAAGTGCTTGTTTCTGTTCCAGCTTGCAGGGAACCATCCATTCTTTACAAGTATCTATGGCCACAGTTCAAAAAGTTTTTTTTTAAATCTTTATATCCCCAATGGAAAAATGGTGCAATACTCCGGTAATAATTTTCTTGCATTAGTCCACAATAAAAAGCTGCTAAAGGTAGGTATACATATTATTCTCCAGAGATACACAATGTAATTTTAACGCAACAACAGAGTCCTTGAGTAAACATTTACACATGAATTGTCGCTAACCCATCCTATTAATTTTTTCAGACATATAGGATTAGCTACGTGAAGGGTTGCTGACACTCAGTGCAAAGTTAGAAGCTAACAACAATTAAACGTTTGACCAATGAGGAAAAAAAAGCATATACTGAGTAAAAGGGAAAAAACCCCACATTGTTAAATCATTCACACACTTTCTCACATACACACATATGTGCACACACACACGCACACACGCACGCATACACATTTCTCTTCCAACACACACAATAGTATATGAAGTTAGAAATTTTTTCCTAGAGCCTGTTTCTGTATATTGATGTCAACCTGGAAGTGTAAAATTAGACTTAGAAAGTGTTCACATTTCATTATTGGCCTGCTGGATTCAAGTATTTGCATGTTTGATATGTTTTTTTTTTAAACTTTTTCTATTTTGGGGGTTTAAAAAAATGACATGGAAAAGTAACCAAACAAGGGAAATGTGCATAGGCGGATCCCTGGGAGCAGAGAATAGGAAACTCCCTCCCTCCCCACTTTAACTTGTACTTTACAGTCATGAGTCACCATTCAGATGCATGACTTTACTGTATCAATGATATAACCATGCTTACTCCTTCTGATGACTGGGTCCGCCTCTGGTAATGTGCATAATAGTCACAGGCTCATTTTAAATAGGCTTTCACTTCTCCCTCCCACCCCCTCCCCACCTTGATAAAATAACCCTTTCCAGCCCACAATCTGAAAAGTGCCCTTCATGATAGAACTATTCTAAGCAGCTTTTATACTTAAAAAAATAAAAATACAAAACACAAAACATACCATATAAACATAAGACAACATAAAACAAAAAGCCATGGAAAAAACAACCTGTCATTAGCATGTGAAACTGACCAAAAGTAGCCCATACTGTTTTCACAACAGTTCACAAGGACTTTGGCAGAGTTTCATAGTCAATATTGGACAGAGGTACTAAAAAAGGGCTGCCAGTCTGATCTATTAAAGCTGGATTCTTTGTGAAGCCCTGGACTGGAAAGGGTTATCCTTTTTTTCCTTTAGTGCTGATGATTGTTATTTCCATTTCATTGATCTGTTTTCCTAGATACTTTCCCCACTGAGAAGGTCACCAGGAAGCAGAGTATTTAAAGGTGTAGGGCTTCCAATAACTCTGCCATCATCGGTGCTTGGAGGGCCCCAAAGGCTGCTGGAGTACTGAGGAACTCCACCCCAGAGCAGGTCGCTGCTTCCTTTGCTTCCCAGGCATGGGGTGTTCCAGTGGCCTGCATCATTTCGCACCAATCCATGAGAACTGCTTGTGGAGCCCATGCGAGTCTGATTGGTTCCAGTGTTGGACTGCCAACTGGAAGTGGGTGGCAGTGGTTGGCCTTGTGCTAAGAAACGGTTTACTTCCTCTTCACCAGCAAACTCAGCCAGTATGGTAGTGTTTCCGAGGACACACCTAGAACAAATAAGAATCACAGGATAAAGTAATGAGACAACCACTCCATTTCTCAAGGCATATTTTGATTTTCAATTAAACAGCCACAGAATCATAGATTTCTAGAGTTAGAAGAAATAATTTAGTCTAACTCCCTTTTATAGATGAAGAAATTGAGGACCAGAAAAGGAAAGCAGCTTGTCCAAGATCACATAGCTAATTTATAGTAGAGCTGAGAATAAAACTGGCTTCTTCTCTGCAAGTGGGTATTTAATGTTATCTCTACTTACATCATGCTACCTTCCACTTAACAACTATATATAAAAATATATGTCCTTGGAACCATTTTTCTTTCCTGGGAAAAACAGAAGACAAAGGACTATGGTAATATTTACACATCTTTCTGATAATTTATCTCTGCTACTCTCAAAACCAATATATATAGAATTTGTGTATTTTCTCCCATTTTATCTTTTTCCATCAGCTATATATCCTCTCTCTTAGTAAATTTCCTTCTTTAATAAGCACATCAACTTTTTCAGTCCACAAGACTAGGGGACTATTTATTAAAGCCATAATTTATACGCTATGCTTTGTAATTCAAGACCAAGACATTTTCTAATCTCAACTCAAAACTCCAGATTTAATTAATGACAATGAACAAGGGTTACTTCAATATTTATCTTTAAGAAAGTTCACACATTTCTAAATTATGTAAAGGTTGTACTGTTAAAAGTACCACAGGCAAAAGCATTTAGAATATTTCAGTTACAGATAGTTAGGAAAGGATATATTTTAATTTTATGAATGGGAAGGAAAAGATTCTTTCTTTAGGAAACTTTTTCACAAATGAGTGCAAAACCATGCCCAAACAAGAATCACAGCCATTTAAAGCTAGAAGAAAGAAAAAAAAATTAATGTTGCACAAACTACACTTGATACTGCAAAAAACAAAAACCAAAACAAAAAAAAAAAACCAAAACAAAAATCTGATACTTTTCCACAAAGAAATTAGAGAAGAATCGTACATATGCAGAGACTTTTGAGCTTTGGCAGCTTCTTCCTTGGAACTATATCGGACCACAGCATTTCCTTGAGTCAGGTTTAGGTGGAATGTAATTAGAGGACCATGTTGCAAACACAAAGTCCTCAGTGTAGAACCATCGATCTAATTGAGAAAAACAGACCAGGATTTTTTTTTGTTATTATCTGTCATTTTTCCCTGTAAATATTTACTTATTTTATATCATAGTCATTTCTGCAAGTAATCTCCCATCCACCACTGAATCTTCCCTTATTTTCTTTAACATTTTTAAAATTATTACGAATTTGACAAATATCAACAAACACGAATGTTTCCATTTACAAATATGGAACAAAGAAGATCAGGAAAAGAGCCCTCTCTTGTAAAGAGAAACAGTTAAGCAAAAACTTGATAAAATGATATGAAATCAGAATACAGCAGAACAAATAAATTCAGGATCACAATCTCAATTACCCTTTCTAAAAAGTGCTTTTGAAGTGTCTAATGCAATTTTGTAGTGACAGTGTCATTTTACATATTCTCTATCGCTGAATTTTTAAACTATATTTTACTAACTAAAACTAACCACAGAAAAAGAATAGGATCACAGATCCAGACCTAGACATTTACAGATCATCTTAAGTCTAACCCCCTAATTTGAAGACAGGGAAACAGAGGCCTAGGGAAGGGTAAGTGACTTGTCCAAAGTCAGGTAGTAAGAGATGGGATTTAAATCTAAATTGAGAAAAAAAAAATCAATGTTTATTTTCTCTAATCAGGCTTGTTTATAAAAGGTACTATGCCAAATTTATACTTCAGAGTACCTAACAGCACTATGATGCCAGAGAACTCTGATTAGTGAATTCAGCTGATACCTTCACGCTAAACAGATTAGTTAACTTGACTAAAATATTATTAAATGAGGATTCAAAATAATTTAGGCAGTACTGATAAGCTGACCTTGAAATTTCTTTTTTTTTCTTTTTTGGAGACTAGGCCTGTCTCACCCAGGCTAGAAGTAAAGCATGGGTTTTACTCATAGGCTCAGCATGGTCAACATGGAACCTCTGACCTGCTCCATTTCCAACCAGGGCTGGCTTGTCCCTACTCAGGCAGCTTGGTAGTCCTCTATTCCTTGCAGTTCACCATACTGGTGCTACAATTAGTGATGATGCCCAATCTGCGTTAGTCCACTACAGCTCACGCAACTCACCAGCTTCAGCCTCTCTGTAGCAAAGATTACAGGCATGTGCCACTATAACCAAAGTTTAAAAAAATAGTTTTAAGCCTTGAGATTTCATTGGCATAAGGAACTTCTAGATGAGGAAACTCCCTCTACCACAGCAAGTCAGTATCTTCTCTGCAACTTACAAGAGAGCGTTGGCTAGAGCAATGACTTGCCCTGGGTCACACAGCTAGCATGAGTCAGAGGCAGGACTTGAACTCAAGTTATTCTGACTCCAAGACCAGCTTTTGAGCCATTATATCACGCAGCCTCTCTCTTAAGAATTTTTATTTTTAATTTTTTTAGGCAATTGGGGTTAAGTGACTTGCCCAGGGTCACACAGCTAGTTAAGTGTCAAGTGTTTGGTCTGAGGCCGGATTTGAACTCAGATCCTCCTGATTTTAAGGCTGGTGCTCTCTCTGCTGTGCCACCTAGCTGCCCCTCTCTTAAGAATTTTTAAAGACACAGGAAGAAATTCACAAACGTGTACTGGCATATGTCTACCCCTTAGTGTCTTTCTGATTTCTATGTGGAAAGTCTACACTGCATTACTGGCCTTTCTACACTGATTATAAGCAGATCTACTTATTCCTATGAACTAAAGATGGGACTCTCCTTGGCTAAGGTGACCAGCAGGCTAGCCCTACTCAGCAGCAGAACATTTGCTGATGCTCCTGTGCACCACATCCATCATGCATTCTGCCTACCTGGGGCGTGAGGTTACGGAGGACCAGCCAGCTGCTCGTTCTTCCTGAACTGTCAGTGCTCCAGGCAGAACCTGCACAATGACCCCCACCCCCCCACCCCCCGATGGGGAAAACATTGTTAGAAAGGAGGGCAATGGGACATGTTCATACTGGTTTCTAGCTTTACCTATAACTTACGGCCACACAAGCCATCATTCCATTATACAAAATATCACGTTCTTTAAAACAGAAGTCTTCTTCCAAGTTCCCAGAAAAATATAAAATTAATGAAAAAGCCCTAAACCTTTTAAGTAATTGTTTTCTACCTATGTACACAAAAGATTTTTGCTTCATTCTATTGCACATAAAGGTTGTCCTATAAAGTTGGGCACGCAGTAAGTATTGAGGTCTTTGTGGAATGTTACAAACGTACAACATGAAGATACAGCTTGAGACTCTGTAGTGGTTTACTAGAGCCTGTAATCTTTGAACTGGTTTGGAGTCCAAGGGTGGAGATAATAGAATCCTCATGAAAATACATTGTAGAGACCATGGTGAAAAGGACAGAAAAATGTTCCAATGCCCCTGGAGGATGCTGAAATATCCTACTCTAAGAACCACATTAGTAAATGAGCACTAACACACTATCCACTGTTGCAACTGAAGAATCACGGCATACCAGAGGAGTAAGAGCTGGTCCAGCCAAGTGGACTGGTACCCCAGGTAGAAGAGGGCTTGGTGTTTGTTAAGCCTGGAGGAGGTCTAGTAGGTGCAGTAGTGTTTCTGGGTACCTTCCACAGTTCATGAGACAGAGAGGCTTGTGTGTGAGAAACTGGGCCGGAGGACCACGTAGATTTAATGTCTGACAGTTTACCTACAAAATCAGAGACATAAAACTTGCATACACACATATGAATAACATATAATTTTTAAATTCTAAAAACTTATTCTGATTTGGTGAAAACCATCAAAACATTTCATTAAGATGCAAAGCCTGGCACTTTGAAGTAAAGGAATATCACAATAAGTAAATGCAGTATTTTGTAAAACATCCTGAAGTTAAACATTATTATGAATACCATCATTTTAATTTCTGTTTGCAGTCATAAGAAATAAGGTGCCTACTGTATGTAAGAAAACTGTTATAGCCTACAACAATTGCTAAATTTATTTGGTTTGCTGAGTTGCCCAACCAACCATAATTTACTATCATGAAAATCATCAAACAGTTCAATTTCTGCTAACATGCATCCAATTAATCAAGTTGAAAAGTAAACATATAAATTCCTTTGCATGGTATTTTTTCACATATCAATTACCTTTAAGGAAATATCCTGTGGGCCATAATCTGCCATTTGTTTAACAATCACATATTTTAAATCCTTTTAATATGATTATGACACATAAGGCTGTCTTTAAAAAACCTAGTATCAGTTATCTTATGAAATAAAAATTAGGAAATGTGAGATAGCTTTTAATTAAGATCACCACAGGGACCATGATAAAACCTCTCCTGTCTGAATGGTTCAACTCTAGAATGGAAGAGAAACAGAAAACAATAACAGGTGGCTGCCAGTATCATCAGTCTTTCCTCACACTACACTGTGTTTATTTATACAAAAGAGCACATATATACACAGTAAATTTATCCAGTAATACTGCCTATTTCACTCAATGAACATATATAATACAGAATAGTAAAGCAACTTAAAAAAGCTATCCTGACAAGGAAGATTGTGGATTTATTAAATTAAAAGCATTATTTTTAAAAATGTAGATATTTTGTGAATTCCTTAAACATTTATTAAATGTTATGACTGAATAAACATATCAGATGATATTTGCTATTTTAAAAGCAGTATAGCTAAAATGTATAAAGTGCTTTAAGGTTTAGTTTACAGAGAACTTTATATATATCATCTTACTGGTGCCTCAGAATATCCCTGGGAGGTAGGTGTTATTATTATCTCCATGTTACAGGTGGAGAAACTGAGGGTGAGAGAGGTTATGCCCAGGATCACACAGTGCCTGAGGCAGAACTTGAATTCAGATCTTTCTGACTGCAACTATAGCACTCCATCCACTATAACACCTAGTTGCTTAAATTTAACTCCTTTTTTCCTGAGTGACCTGTATTAAGAGAAACATTTATCTAAACATTCCTAAATCTTAGATCCTCACCCAATTCTTTTCAGACATTTCAGTATTCAGAATCTCTTCTCTTTTCCTCTCTCCACCCCACCTCACTACGATAAGTCCCACACTGAATGCCTTAGGCATATGCCACTTTGACCCATACTTGGTGGGGGAAAAGAAGATTCCTTTCTAGCCATATTTTCCTCCTGGGAGAGCCCACCCATAGGAACTGAAAGAGTCTTCTTCCCCCCTTTCAAAATGGATTCAATTGGAAATAAGAAAATTTTGGACAGAAACAATAGCAATCCCTCCCCACTGCCCTTAAGGAGTTATATTTATTTATTAAGTTTGACTAGGAAGGAAGGGAAAAGGGAATAAATATGCGAGTGTGTGTGTGTGTGTGTGTGTGTGTGTGTGTGTGTGTGAGTTGCTTATTATATGCCAGGTACTGTGCTAAGCACATTATCTCTTTTGATCCTTACAACAACCCTGGGAGGCAGATGCTGTTATTATCTCCATTTTACAGCTGAGGAAACTGAGTCAGACAGAAGTTAAATGATTTGCCCAGGGTCACACAGCTAGGAAGTGTCTTACATTGGATTCGAACTCAGGCTTTTCTGACTCCAGACCTAGCAGTCTATTCACTCTGCCACCTAGTTGATTATATAATCTGTTCACATTTTAAGTCCTATACATCTGCTGATCATTTTGCATTTTCCTGACTTAAAATCTTCAGCTTTGACAACATATTTTTCTAATATCTCACTATAAGGTATCTATTTAAAAAACTCTGGATTCTAAATATATGGAAGTATTTCAGCAAATACATGTTGAAATAACAGAAGAAGTATTACATTTGTGGTGCTGAGAGCAAACACAGGGATCTGCTAAACTATTATCTTTCCTTGATTTCTTATGTGGAATTTAAGTGGCATAACACTTTTTTTGAAGCAATGCTTTCTTAGAAGAGGTTATAATTAGCTATATGCTACACGAGCACTAATCTTAAAGTCACATCTACTCAGGGAATCAGCAAAAAGATCAGAAGGACCTACCTGACAGGTCTTTGAAGATTTTTATTCAGAGGTACAAAAATGCTAAACGAAAGTAGAAAGACCATTTTCATACCTGTAACACTAGATGCGGATGCAATGCTGCTGAAAGAGCTACTGTAGCCAGAGGCACTAAGAGGCCAGGCACTCGATGAAGGCAGCGTGGCATTCTGAGATGATGTTGGGGATGACCCTGCAGAACCAGCAAAGAAGCAACTAAGAAAGCTGGGCCAAATGTCTGCTGTGTCAGCCACCTTCCTTTAGCAGGTGGGGATATGAGACAGGAAAAGGACTTCTCTGGAACTTGCCTTTTTTGGGCAGATGGTCTGGCAGTCTCAGGGACATTAAGTTGAGTTCTATCCCTCCCACCCAGATCTCTGTCCTCAGCAGGCATTTACTACATGGATTCCAACTTTTCTTGAGTCTAAATTCTGATGCAAGGACCATTAGAATTTTATAACTTCCAAATAAGGCAGACTGAAAAACTATACATCAATCCATTTTTTTTGTACCATATACATAAAACCCCACAAAATAAAGACAAAAGTTTTTTCATATTAAGTTTCTATTCCAAAACACCACTTTCATCTCCTTTCTTTTCAAAACATTTCGATTTCTCCCAGGATCTAAGATGGACCTCATCCTTACTTCCTTTCCATAACATAAGGGAAGCATTAACTGGCAATCTGTCTTTCCCTGTCTAAATATGTTGTGCAAATTATGAAATCTCTGTGTTTTTGCTTATTGTGAGTCTATAATTCCAGGGACTTAGCTCACTGGTACCTGTATTTTGCTTTAGACTATTTTTTTAGCCTGTAGGAAATAGTACAGGCCTTTTCTTTCCTTCCTTATCCTGATCTCTGAAAAAAGTAGACAACCCTATGTGAGTTGTTGTTGTTTTTGCTATTAAGTACCACAATGAAGAACACATGCAGTAAGATATCAAAGAGAAGTTTGAAAAGTTTCATAGAAGTCTGTAATGGTTCCTTGCCACACATGCAAGCACAGCGATGGTCATCTTTGGTTGTTTTTAGAGTAGCCTTAATTTTTCAACTCAGAAATAAATATTTTATATTTTATATTTCAAAAGGATAAGGGCACATGTAAAACACTCAAAATGGTCCAGTTTAATTGTACAGTGAAGTGCATGAAGGTAGTATTTATGAAGGAGTTAAGTGTAGGTTGGAGTCAAATGTTGGAGGGTGTTGAAAGCCTGGCTAAAGAATTTATATTTTATTGGGTAAGTAATGAGGAGAAACTGAGCTTTTGAGCTTGGAACTGACATGACTGGACCTTTACATCAGGAGCACTGCTCTGGCAGTATTGTGAAAAATGAAAAAGAAGGACAATACAAAGAGAGAATTAAGTGGGAATAGAAAAGAGTGTACCCTTTAGTAGGGAGGTGCAAAATAAAATCATGATATTGTAAGATGTCATTCAATCTCAAATTATCTATGAAGTTGAGAAGCAATAATTATGACTTAACAGATTTTTGTTTTGCAACGACTCCATTTCAGGGTTCCCAAAATGTGTAAAAGTTAAGTATTTTGTGTAATTGTTTCATTTCTCTCTCAGGGTTCTACAGTGGGTTGATCAACTGTCCTAAAGTACAATGAAATAGACTTGGGGTAAGCAAGAAGAAAGTGAGTGCTCATATTGATATCTGTTTAGTGTTAGCAACTACATTATTATCATATGCCCAGATGTTTTTTTCCCCACGGGGTGGTGGTGGTGGGAAATTAAATTTCTAAATGAAAAAGTTTGGGGAATGCTTCCAGCCTCAGATTGACCTAAGGAAATCAACATAGCTATTTAAAAATATAACTGGCTTGTACTTTTCATCTAAACTATGATTCATCTAATATTAATAACTTTATGAATTTCAAAAATAGAAGAGAAAGATAAATTAGACTACTCAACAGTATGAAGTAAATTCAAGAATAAATTTATGTTTGTCCCCATATCCACACTCTTCCTGTTTTAATTTTATTAGGCACAAGTTAGGTTAAAAAAAAAAAGGCCAGCAGGGGCCTTAGAAATCATCTAGTCTGAGCCTAGAGAAATTGAGAGACTTGCATGAAATCATAGAGTTAGTGCCAGAAATGGGGGTATAACATAGATCTAATGCAACGCAGCTCATTCATAGATGCTTTAGATACACTACCAACCAAATACACATCCTTGAGAACAGATCGCTTTTTTAGAAATTGAATATTTCTAGACACATACCTCTAAGTTGTAATACAAAGATGTCTGCCACTGACTGTCATTTGTCACGAACTAGGGTCCTGGGACACACCATATCCTGCATCTTAGCCAAGTTCTAGAGGCACTGCCCTGCTCCTCACACCACCAGGACTTGCTCTGTAAGCACCAAAACCTAGTGCAAGGGTTCTAACCCTGGGGATAAATATCAGGGAGTCTGTGAACTTGGATGGGAAAAAAAAAATTCGAGTTCTTTATTTTCCACTAATCTCTAGCTGAAATTTAACATTTCCTTCAATTATTTAAAAACATCATTCTAAGGAGTCTATAGGTTTCACCCAAGGGGTCCATGACACACACACAAAAGGTTAAGAATCTCTGATCTAGAGACATGACAATGAATATTTTAATCAACTATGGGCATCAGTCGACCTCTTGCCATCCCCTGTTGGCATAACTCCTCATCCCAGTGACAGTGAACCCCCAAGAACTAAAGAACAAACCCTGCTATCTGCTCTATAATTCCTATCCACCTCAACTCCACTCTCACAATATACAGATCCGCCTGCACCTTCTACTATGCCCTCTGGAACTTTTGCTACATAATAATAGACTTATTTGCATCATCATCATCATAGCTAGTGTTTTATATAGTGCTTTCAGATTTACAAAGTACTTTACATATTAACTCAATTTATCCTCACAACCATCCCATGAGGGAGATGCTATTATTATCCTAATTTTACAGATGAGGAAACTCAGGTAACAGACGTTAAATGACTTGTCCAGGGTTATAAACTCTGAAAGTTTCTGAGCAATGGAGTAGCATAGTCAGATCTGTGCCCTGGGAAAATCAACTTGGAAGTTATGTGAAGGATGGACTGCAGAATGGAGAGAACGGTAATAGAGAGACCACTTAGGAGGCTCAGGTGTGAGGTGATAAGGTTCTGAGAAAGGCCCTGTGAGTGGGATTCCATGTCCTCTTTTCTTTTAAATCTTATCTACTTAGACTGAGGGTACTCAGATTATGCCTGGTGTTTCCTTTCTTTTCCATCATGACAAGTTTCTTCCCAAGTTTGATGAACTTCTTGCACTCTTAACTTTGGCAGTATTTTGCTCAGATATGTTTGATGTGCAATTAGTAGCTAACATTTTAATGTCAACAGAGGCTGAATTCCACTATTTTATGCAAGAAAGTTTAATAAAGAAATTAAAACTTCCAGTCACTTCCTTGCTAAGTCGTGCCTCTTCATGTCGTACCCCCATCTTATTTTTGTTCTTTATTAAAGAGCAAAGGAGACACTGAGTAATAAATATAGCCTAAATGACACCATTTATCAATTATTATGATATCATTTATCAATTATAAAATAACTTCCCAGTACATTTTGTAACACAAGACTCTGGACCTAGTTACAGAATCAAAGTTGAAAGGGCTAAAGGAAAAGAGTCTCACTCTTGTCATTTGTGTGGTTAAGCCATCCAAGACAGATTACTTTTTTGTCTTTTTCTTAAATAATTCTATAGAGATTTTATTATCTTTCTTATTTTGTCATACCACTGCTTTTTCATAATGATGAACAATATGTGCCTTATGGATAAGGACTGATACTGTCCCTATGATTTGTAGCAAATTTATAGCTGAAGAAACTCCCTCTACCAATACCTATCTACTAACGTACCTTCTCTTTGACTCGTAGTCTTTGAGAGCGGCCAAGAGAAATGAGAGGGTAAGTAACTTGACCAGTGTCACACAACCAGTTTGTGTTAGAGGCAGGACGTTAACCCAAATTTTTTTGGTTCCAAAGCTGGCTCTTCATCCATTAGTCTATGCTTTCTCCTTTTAGTTCCTGCTTATAATTCTTCATTCAGTCCTCTATGACATAGAGAACTAGCCAGTTTATTTTCATAAAAAGTCATAACATATAGATTTCTTCAAATTAAAGCCTCAATTTTTCTAAGCTGTTTTTAAATGCCCTGTTTCCCTTCCCTTTGTTACTTCTTTGGATCCTGATTTGCTATATCCTTCTAAAAGTGTGTCAAGAAAATTAGATACTACACGTACATTAAGACCCTTTTAAGTATAGAGGATAGATTTAGAAGGTATACTTATTAGTGTCTGTAGATCAAACTTTTTATAATCTCTACTATGTGCTCTGGCTTTTCTTGTAGTAAGAGTAGTATATTTTTAACTCATATTAACCTTATCAGCTATAAAAAAGGAGTATTTTTCTGCTGTGTGTGTACTTAGTTACTAAGTGGGTCATAGTTGTGGTGGCTAATCAGGACTATATTGTGGGAACGGACATAATGAGCTCTTTGAAGTCAGTACCTATGTGGGCCCTTTCAGCAGGCATATAGTGCTATTCATTTGTGTCCTACTCTTTGTGATGCCATTTTGGGGTTTTCTTGGCAAAGACACTGGAGTGGTTTGCTATTTCCTTCTCTAGCTCGTTTTACAGATGAGGAAACTGAGGTGAACAGGGTTAAGTGATTTGCCCAGGGTCACATAGCTAGTAAGTATCTGAGATCAGATTTGAACTCAGGAAGATGAGTCTTCCTGACTCCAGGCCCAGCACTCTATCCACTGTGCCACTTAGCTGTCCCATAACACATAGTAGATGCGTAATAAATGCTATTTGACTATTTAACTAGGTAGGACCAAAAGGCAACAATGTTAGGTCTTTGGGAAGAGAACAATGGTGAAAGATACTTCCTCTCTAGTGATGGTGATAAAAGAGGCCAAAGTACTGGAGGTCCCTTTAGAGTACTGTACCACTCCTCCTTAAAACAACCTGGCTATAGCCAGTTTGGAAGGTGGATAACACCTGGCAGCTTCCAGTGAACTACAGAGAACTGAACAAAGTTGTCATGCCTATAACTGAAGATGTTCCTGACCTCCTCAATGTGGTGGACCAGGTAGCCCAGGGTGAGTGGTATGTGCTTATCAACCTCATCAGTGCTTTTTCTCTATTTTTTCTGGCTGAGACTAGTTAGCAGCAGTTAGGGAAAGAATCCAGTATGCCTTTGTTGTCCTTCCTTAGAGCTATCTGAATTTGCTCTTTTACTGCCAGAGTCTGGTGGGCAGAGGGCCTGAAAGAGGCAATCTCTTCCTGAGGGCACTGGGGTACATTACTACACTGATGACATAATGTTGCCTAAACCCAAGAAAAACCAGGATGTAGTCCATTCAGTAAAGTTCTTGGGAATACAGGATGAGAAGAACTCAGTTGATTCTGGACATAGTGAGGAATAAATTATTGACATGGACTTCCCCACAATCTAAAAAGGAATCCAAGAAGCTTATTGCACATTTTGGATTCTAGGGAACTCTTGTTACCTATTTGCATATCTTGACAGACTTCATTTACTGAGTCATCTGCAAATCTGCTTCTTTTGAGTGGGGTCCAGAACAGATTTCAGTCCTAGAAGCAGATTGTCTAACAGTATCTCCCCCTGGGTCCTTTTGACTCAGTGGGGTTCAAGTTTGGAAGAAAGGGGATCCCTTATCCCATTTGATGGCAATCTCGAGTCCCTCAGGAAAGGTGAGGACAGTCTTTACAGAGGCCTTTGTGGAAGGAGAAGGCAGAGCTTCAGTCGAAACCTCTAAAGAGGCAAAGATTTGCTATCAGTTTCCTTCAAGAAGGGGGAGGTTTTAGCTGGTGGTCACAGAGAATAGTGAGTGGAAAGCATTACAGAGACAGCCTTGGTATCAACTTAGATCTCAGGACAGATGGCATGCAAGAGGCTTATGACCTCTGAGCCACTTTACTAGAGATGCTTTTGATGTGTACTGAAGAATTATTAACTGGGCACACTTACAGTGTCTGTGCTGTGACCCAAATGTCTTGGGAGTTATTCTTGCTCACTGTTACCACTTTACACCAGAAGAAAAAAATCTGCTACTGTATTGGATGTCACATCATCTGCATTGTGGCTCTGATGTTCCTTGGGCTGCTTCGGTTCACTGTCTCCACCTTTCATTATGAAACCCATTGTGAACTTCAAAGATTTGGTATCATCTATAACATGGACTAGACTGTTGAGATCTGAGACTTGGTTCTTCTGAGGAGGGAGGAAAAGTCCAAGATCTCTGGCTTTTGTTCTCCTTAATTTCTTTTTTCTTTCTCACTATATTATCTTCTCTGGGGGTGAGGAGTCTGTAAAATTTAAAATTATTTTTCTTTTTCTCCTCAGTACTGTCCATGCAAGAAGGGCTGTCCAATAAAAGCCCTAAAAGCTTTCCCCTACAATATAGGGTAGACCCATCTCCCACCACCCCCTCCTAGCACCTGATTGGTCCCTGCCTCTCTTGATGCAGCCTCTTGGTCACCTAAAGGAATAAAAAGGCCTATTCACACACAGCCCAGGCCTCTCAGACTTCGTGGGTGCCTGAGACCATGGAGGTGACCACATCCTGCCCAGCTGACCAGATGTGTTTCCATAAGAAAGCAAGGAAGGCCTCCTTTACCAAACATGAACGACTTGGTGTTATCTTTTCTATAATATAGCTAAGTTAATTTCTTTTGTTAACTGGATTCTTAAGTGTTTCATTTCATTCCAACATCAAACTTGATCTAACAAGGTTCCGGAGACACGTCTACCCTTAACAGCACTCCATTTCCAAACTACCCTATTTCTGTTTAGGGTACCATTAACCTTTCAGGTGTCTAGATTCTTAACCGTAGCATAATCCTGAACCATTTTCTCTCTCCCCCAAATCCAACCAGCTACCAAATCTTGCCATTTCTACCTCCACAAGATCTCCTGCATTTGGCCCCTTCTCTCTGTTCATACAGCCACTACTTTAGTTCAGGCCATCACCTCAAGCTCCTGCCTTAAGTCTCTTTCCTCTCTTCCAAAACACCCTCCACACTGCTGCCAAAGTGAGTTTCCTTAAGCACAGGTCTGAACGTGTCACTCTCCTACTCAAACTCCAATGGTTCCCTACTGCCTCAAGCATCAGATATATCTCATCTGTTTGGCATTTAAAGCCCATCATACCCTAACTTTAACTTACATTTCTAGCCTTATTTTATATTATTCCCCTTCCCACATCCTATGGCATATATTTTTGCTGTTGCTCACCAGACATTCCAATTCCTCTCTGTGCCTTTTCACTAGCTGTCTTCCATGCCTAGAATATCCTTCCTTTTCACCTCCCCCTCTTGGAATTCCTTGTTTGCTAAAAAAAACATAGCTCAAGTGCTGCTTTCCATATGAAACTTTCCAGCTGCAAGTGTCATACCTCCAAAATTACCTTGTATTTATTTTGTATATAAATAAAAATGATCTCTTCTGAGAAAATGTAAGCTCCTGGAGGGCAAGAACTATTTCATTCTTGCTTTTGTATCCTCCATACTCCATACAGCACAGTGTGCCTGACATACAGATTCTTAGTAAATACTTCTTGATTAATTCACTGATTATAATGATTCATCTTAAAGACCTAGTCAGTAGAAAACTTTCTTTTTTAATCTTAAGTATACCACTTTGTATTTGTCTTTACTGAAATTTATCTCGTTTTAAAAGAATGGTTTTCTCTATTTATTGAAGTAAATATAGATCATTTATAAACTGGATGAACAAATTTTTTAGGACTTATTGAAGTCATCAAAAATAGATAATGACAGAATGGGAATTTGATTGATTCCCATAGGAAATCCCATATGTCTTCTTGTGGGGTTACTGATAGATATTTTGTTATGTATTCCTTGAGACCAAGTTTTACATGATCAAATTCAGTTGGTATAACCAAGGAATGCCAAAAAACATTACAATTCTACTTATCAAATTACAGATCACAATTTACATGCCAAACTACTTTTTTTTGGGGGGGGTGAGGCAATTGGGGTTGAGTGACTTGCCCAGAGTTACACAGCTAGCAAGTGTTATGTCTGAGGCCAGATTTGAACTCAGGTCCTCCTGACTCCAGGGCTGGTGCTATCTACTGCATCACCTAGCTGCCCCTACAAACTACTATTTTAATAAAAATAAAATAATTTAAATGTATCCAAATGCAAAGTAAATTATTCTAATTAGTTATGTCCCTTTATAATGCCATATTTATACTCAGTGTTTATATTCTACAATTCTATGGCTCGTTAATTTTTTTGTACCAGATCCCACAGTAAGACAATTTATAAAAGGAGCCAAATTCTACTTTGGAGGATAGATTAACATCTCTTTTTAAACAAAACTATTTGTGTTAAATATGGTGAAATTAAACTTAGAAAATGTATAAAAATACTATTTATAGTTTAATGCAACAATTCTAAATTCCCAAGTAGAACATTTTAAATAAAAAAAAACCTAACAAGATGTTAACTATACTACAACATGTTTAAAATAATTGTGTTATTTTCACAAATATAAATAAGATACAAAACAACACCTCTATGATTCCTACTTTCATCAGCACCACACTGCACAGATTAATAAGAAGTACCAGACATGTTGTACTATGCAAGACAAGAAGAAACCCTATATTAAAATGTATACCATTATTTATACAGTTACTTACCCTTAGAACTAACTCAATCATCATTCTTATCTATAAAAAAAGAGTTCAAAGAGTGTGATTTTTCTAGGAACAGGGATAAAAAAAATTGTGTTTTCCCCCCTACCTCCACTTTTGAGAAGATAACGATTAACATCCTGTATTGTTGTATTAATTGTAGGTCCAGTGGGGACACTTCCCGGAGTGACATCAGGATCATTCTCAGGGTCAATATTCTGAAGTCCTTTCCATGGCACTCCAGGATGAAATTCTGTTTATGACATCCAAAGTAAGAATCTATGTAAGCTGGTAATGTCATTACTTTTCAACGTGACTTTGAATATTCTGATTCTGCCAATGTTCTTTTTTGATTTTTCTTTTATTATTATTTTTTTTGATTTATCAATAATCACTTCCATATGCTTTTGAGTTTAAAATTTTTTTCCCCCTTCGTCCCCACCACCCTCCCCAAGACGGCGCACAATCTGATATATCCTGCCAATGTTCTTAAAACAAAGTTGCATACCACAATCATTATCTGCATTGAACACATCCTTGTAAAAAAGAAAAAGAGTAGAGGAAACCATCAAGCGACTAAGCATGATAGTGTATTCCAACCCATGGCTCCAGAGAGAAGAGAGGTGTGTTCTACTACTTGTTCTTGGGAATTGAGATTGGTGATTACAATTAATTTTTATTTACGTTCTGATTCTGCTTACTCTATCTATATCCATTCATTCAAATTTTTCCATGTTTCTCTGAATTCCTCATATCTATCACCTCTTATGGCACAATAGTATTCCATCACATTCACAATACCATAATTGGTTCTGCATTTCTCCAATCAACGGGGAAACTTTGCTTTCAGTTTTCTGCTACCAAGGCTGCTATGACTACTTAGGTATCTATTCTAGTCAGGAAATCATTGGGTCAAAGCATATAAAAAGTTCAGTAACTTTTCTTGAAATGACTGTAAATTGTTTTCCAGTTGCAGCACAATTTTGAGTTTCACCCACAGTTGGGTCTGTTTTTCTATTGCCATTACAATACAATACAATACAATACAATACATCATCTTTGCCACTTCTATGGTATGAAGTGAGACCTGCACTGTTTTAATTTCTCTAATCATTAGTGAGTTAGAGCATTTTTTCATATGATTGTTGAATGCAATTTTTCTTTAGAAAACTGTATTCATATAGTTTGACTACTTATCTACTACAGAATGGCCCTTGTTCATCTATCTATATATCAGTTCCCTAAGTATCCTGGATATCAGATTTATCTAAGAAACTTGATAGGAGCATTTCTCCTCCACTCAACAGTTTCTCTTCTTAGCTGAGTTGATTTTGTTTATGCAATTTTTTTCATTTTATGTAACTAAAACGACCTATTTTAGCTTTTATGATCACTTTTATCCCTCACTGCATAAAAAAATTTCCCCCAGTTACAGTCGCTAAAGATACTTCTTTCCATTCTTCTTTAATTGTTTTCTGATGAGACTTTTTCTATTTAGGTACAATATCCATATACCATGAAAGATACTGGCCTAAATTTAATTTCTGTAAAACTGCTTTCCAGTCTTTCCAGATGTTCTTGGTGAATGGGAAGTCCTTCCTCCAGTTATGTGCAGCCTTGAGTTTATCAAATTCTGGACTGCTGTGTTTGATTCCTTTGGTGCCATATTTGTCTAGTATGTTTTAACCAAAGAAATTTTTCATAGCTACTAATATGGTTTTTTGGTGCATTTCAGAGTCTTCCAATTAACTCATGAATCCTATGGAAATAACTAGCTTATCTCATAAATATTCACTTGCAGTAGCTTTAAATTAGAATCCATATACAATGGACAGAATATACATTTTCATGAGCTTTGTTGTTCATCATCAATAACATTTTTGTTTTGTTTTGTTTTGTTTCGTCTGATGACATTTGATATGTTGGCTCTTACTTAAGTCGATTTGTTATGGCATTATTAACCAAAGAGGACAAAGTAAGGCCTATAGTCTCAAAATGTAGTGAAGAAATTCCCATGAAAACTCAAAGAAATAACAGAATATCAACGTTTCAGAATTTACATTAGTTCAGTACTTGATTTCCCTGTTCTAAAACAATCTACTCTGGGCTTTTTTTTTTTTTTTTGGATTAAGACCTGTGATTTCATGGGTGTAGAGTACTCTTGGTACATTACTGATGTAGTTAGGCAATTAATCTGTAACTTACAGTCATAGTTACTGGGGCAGTGCTGTCAAACTCAAACAGAAACAAATCCCTGTCTGCCCATATTCACTTAGAAAACCTCAAATTAACATTATTTATATTGTAATGTATTTTTTTAATTTTGTTAGATATTCCCCAATTATATTTTAATCTGGTTCAGGCACATTCAGGAGGTTTGTAGCCACATGGGGCCCAAGGACTATGAGTTTGACACTTCTAACCTAGGGCACTGAGAGGTGGTGATTTACCTATTATAACCAAGTTAGTATGTACCAGAGGTAGGACTTGAATAAAGGTCTTCTCTAATTTCTACTTGATGTTGTCTCTTACTAGACTCTACCTGTATGAACTGTAGAAAAACTATTATTTTACCTGGTGGCCAGTTAATGCTGGAACCATTTGAGATTTTATCATTATCAGATTTGGCACGTGACCAGCTGTGGGGAACGGCTACAGGAGGGCTGGCTGGTGATTCACTGTTTTGGATTAAATCATACCGGCCATAAGAGTCATCAATGGAGGACTTACCCGGAGGCCCAATGCTTAAGCCTCCAGGGATAGCACCTGTAATGAGAAACAAAAATAGAAGAAACAAATAAAACATGCTATACAAGTGGTAAACCTCAAAGCCTATAAACAATTATTAAGCTTCTACTATCTACCAAATACTGTGCTAACTAACAAGAATAAGTGGGAGACAATCAACAGCAGAAAGACATTAGCATTAGGGAGAATCAGGAAAGATTTCTTTTCTTAAAATTTTTTTTCCGATTACATGTAAACATAGTTTTCAACATTCACTTTTATATGCTTTTGAGTTCCTAATTCTTCTCCTTCCCCTCTCTCCCTCCCCCAGACAGCAAGCAATCTGATATGGGTTATATGTTTATAATCATATTAATCATATTTTCACATTAGTCATGTTGTGAAAGAAGAATCAGAACAAAAGGGAAAAACCATGAGAAAGAAAAAACAAACAAAAAAAACCAATGAAAATAGTAGGCTTCAACCTGCATCCAGACTCCACAGTTCTTTCTTGGGATGTGGATAGCATTTTCCATCATGAGTCTTTTGGAGTTGTCTTAGATCATTGTATTGCTGAGAAGAGCGTCTATCATAGATGATTATTACACAATACTGTTGTTACTGTGTACAATGTTCTCCTGGTTCTGCTGACTTCACTCAGCATCAATTCATGTAAGTCTTTCCAGGTTTTTCTGAAATCATCCTCTTGTCATTTCTGCTTGTCACAATAGTATTCCATTACATTCGTATATTACAATTTGTTCAGCCATTCCCCAATGGATGGGCATCCCTTCAATTTCCAATTCTTGGCCGTCACAAAAAGAGCTGAAAGAGGTATCTTTGTATATGTAGGTCCTTTCCCCTCTTTTATAATCTCTTTGGGATACTGACCTAGTAGTGGTATTGCTGGATCAAAGAGTACATATATGCACAGTTTTATAGCCCTTTGAGCTTGGTTCCAAATTGTTCTCCAGAATGGTTGGATCAGTTCATAACTCTACCAACAATGCATTCGTGTTCCAATTTTCCCACATCTTCCCCAACATTTATCATTTTCCTTTTCTATCATATTAGTCAATCTGATACGTTTGAGGTGGTACCTCAGAGTTGTTTTAATTTGTATTTTTCTAATTAATAGTGACATAGAGCATTTTTTCATATGACTATAGATAGCTTTAATTTCTTTGTCTGAAAACTGCCTGTTCATATCCTTTGACCATTCATCAATTGGGAAATGACAAAGATTTCTTAAAGAAGGTAGGATTTAAGCTGGAACTTGAAGGATGCAAAGGAATCCAGAAGGTGGAATTGAGGAGGGAGAGAATTTTAGGCATGAGGGATAGCCAGTAAAAATACATGTGCCCCAGTAAAAATGCATGGAGTCAGGAGATGCATTGTCTTATGCAAGGAATAACAAGGAGGCCTGTATCACTGGATTGCAGAATACGTGGTCAGGGTGTAAGGTGTAAGAAATAGTGAACAGAGAATTTATATTTGATGCTAGAGATGACAGTGAGCCACTGGTGGCAGCTAGGTGGTACAGTGTACACAGGACCTCAAGTCAGGAAGACCTGAACTAAAATCTGGCCTTGGATGCTTCCTAGCTGTGTGATTCTGGGCAAGTTACTTAACCTCTGGCTATCTTAGTTTTGTCAACTATAAAACGGGGAAAATATTAGCACCTACCTCACATGATATCAAATGAGATAACTGTAAAGTGCTTAGCACAGTGCTTTATAAATGCTTATCCCATTCCATTCCTTAATCCACTTGAGTTTATTGAATGGAGTAATGGTGACATAGTCAGACCTGCAGTTTAGGAAGATCAATTTGACAGATGAGGATGTATTGTAGTGTGGAGAGATGAGACAGGGAAGCCAATCAAAAGGCTAATGCAGTAGATCAGGCATGAAGTGATGAAGGCCTAAAGTAGGGTGGTGGCAGTGTCAGAGAGAAGAATGCATATAGGAGAGATGTTATAAAGGTAAAATCAACAGGACTTGGAAACCGATTGGATACGGAGGTTGAGAGAGTGAGGAGTTGAGGATGACATCTCGGTTAGGTGACTGGATGGATGTGTTCAAGTCTTGGTGACTCCATTTGGGGTTTTCTTTGCCATTTCCTTCTCCACTTCATTTTACAGATGAGGAACTAAGGTAAACAGGGTTAAGTGACTTGCCCAGGGTCACAGAGCTAATAAATATCTGAGGCCATACTTGAACTAAGGTCTTCTTGACTCCAGGGCTGGTACTCTATTCATTGCACCACCTAGCTGCTCTAAATGTGTCACAGAGGGTGGCAAATATAGGTTTTCCTGGCTCTCTTTTAAATGGGAAAAACCATGGCGCACACCATTAATCTCTCACTAATTGAACTCTTTGTCATATGATCAGCCCATTGTCTTTTTTGGATCACGCATTTGTTTGACAATATCCTTTAGCCCAGTTTTTCTTCTAAATCCTTAATTTGTTGCAGGCTGCATATAACACATATCATACACTTTTCTTCAAGTGAAAACTGGTTTTTAATTCTGTGGAAATTGTTGTATTTCATTATTTAAAACCTTATAACACTACCATTAAACTACTGGGATGAGCCTGTGTCCCTGGGAGAAGTCTGGGATTGGTAAAAGAGTTTTGCAATTTCTTGGAGTCAATCCAACTTGCTATCCTTTTCCTATCTATCTATCTATCTATCTATCTATCTATCTATCTATCTATCTATCTATCTATCTATCTATCTATCTATCTATCTGGTGAGGCAATTGGGGTTAAGTGACTTGCCCAGGGTCGCACAGCTAGTGTCAAGTGTCTGAGGCCGAATTTGAACTCAGGGCTGGAGCTCTATCCACTGCATCACCTAGCTGCCCCATACTTTTCCTATTTAATTCAAATACCAACTAGTTATCCATTTTTACTGTTATTCATACACACACACACACACACATATTCTATAAATTCATTTAAATTTTGTTCATTTAAAAAGACTGCATGTCAAAATCAAATCGAGGCAATATACATTCTTCATCCACTTGCTTTTTAGTCTGTAACAAACAGTTGCATATCTATTTCAGGAGGCTCTGCAATGTTCAGGAGCTTGCTGCAACCAGCATGATGTCAAGCTGAAAAATGCTATCCACCTCCATTGAAAGAACTGATGAAATCTGAATATGCACCAAAGCATACCATTTTTCAATTTCTTTTTTTTTTAGTTTGAATTTTCTTCCACAAAATGACTAATACGGGAATGTTATACTTGATTACACATGTATAACCTATATCAGATTGCTTACAATTTCAGGGAGTTGGGGCATGGGGATAGAGGGAGGGATAGAATTTGGAACTCAAAACAATTGTAGTTTTATGTGTAACTGGGGAAAAAATAAAATATTGTTAAAAAAAGAATTTATCCCCTACTAAAGCACAGATCTAACCAAGTCAGTCTCCTACTCAACATACTCCAATGGATCATTAAAATCTTGATTCACAACATCTCTCATATATTTCCTCTTCTCTTCAGTCACAGACCCTCATTACCTCTTCCCTGGGCTATTTTTTAACAGCTTCTCAATTGGTTTCCCTGCCTCAAGTTTCTCCCCACTCCAATCCATCCTCCACTCAGTTTCCAAAAACACTTTAAGCACAGGTCTGACCATGTCACTTGTCCTACTCAGTAAGCTCCAGTGGCTCCTTATTACCTTTGGGATCAAATATAATGTCTCCTACTTGGCTTTTATGCTCTTCAATAGGCCTCCTCCTAACTGTTCAACATTGTATGTTCCTCTCCTCCATACACTATACAACCCAGATAAATTGGCCTACCTGCTACTCCTTATGCACAACTCTACCTCTTAACTCTGTTGTCAACACTGGTAATCCCTCTATGGAATACTTTCTCCCCTTATCTCTGCTTCTCAGCTTCCCTGAAGACTTGGCTCAAATCCCAGCATCTGCAGAATGCCTTTCTTGATGTCCCTTGTTACTGGTGACTTTCCTCTGGGATTAGTTTCCATTTACTTCTGTATATATCTGCTAAGTACTTAGTTATTTATGTGTCTCTTCCATTAGAATGTAAGCTCCTTGAGGGCAGGGGATGTTTTTGCCTTTCTTTGTATCCCCAGCACTTAGCACAGTACCCATCACATACTAAGTACTTAATAAATGCTTGTACACTGATGACTGGAGAACACTTTCTCTGCTTACCTCTGCTCCTTAGAATCCTTCATTTCCTTCAAACTCAGCTCAAGTGTCACCTTTTACATGAAACCTTTCCTGATTCTCCAGTTGCTAGTATACTATGCCTTATCACCTTGTATTGATTTTGCATATTACTATATTTATAATGCTTGTTGATTTTTTATATCTTTCAGTTAACTTGGCAATGGTAAAGATGTAGTTTTTTATGAAACATCTCTAGGAAAAGCAGCCTGCTCTCTTCTAATACCCTCATCAAAAATGTCATCAATGTGTGTATAGATGATTAAAATATACAAATTTTTATATATATGAAAGCAGGAATATAGAAAATAAGCCAGTAGTTGCTGATATTCTTTTAGTTAAAATTTTTTTTTGTTATTAATAAGGTCTGAATTTTTTCCTTATGCTTTTGGTATCTTCTAGTTGATTTCACAAATTTTGTTTTTATTTTTACCTCTGCAACAAGCATGTCCAGGACTATGATAATAGCTGCTGTGGTGGTTCTATCATACTTAAAGGTGAAAAAAGTTTGTTACGAAGTATTTGCTGATCATTTTCATTTTTTTCCTGTTTGTTGTCCTTCCAGTTTCATCCTTAAATATCCTTAGGATGACTTTGGGTTTCTCAGCAAACTTTATTAAACTGGTTTTACCTTCCATTACTGTTCATTATTTCCTGAGGCAATATTGTTCTGCAATCCTTATCTTTAAGCATTAACAATATAGTTTATATGATGCTGCTTTGAGCTGCCATCTCTTTCTACTTATCCAGTAAATTAAATGTTTGCTAAGGCATTTTTAAACTCTTGATCACCTTGTTACCAATTTGTTTATATCTACATGAAATTACTACAATCTATCTTTTTTTTTTCTTCAGTCCATTACTCATTTTCCATTATTAGTAACTTGTCTGAATGGATGAGAATTGAGTTTTCAATTAATTTTTTCATGACTTTCTAGCTTTGTACTCATTTTGATCATTTCCTCTAACAAGCTGGTATATTCGTTTCAATCAGTAATCAACTGATTGTCTGTAATCAACTCAGGTAGTTGATTCAAGAATGACTCCCACATGAGCTAATGAGTCATTTCTAGTCTGTAAATACATGATTAATTTTTTTTGGTCTGTTATTTGGTGCTCACCATGTCTACTGTCTACTGGTTCTTTTCTTGAAGAAAATGTTTTTAACATGTAGGCATGAGGTTTCTGTGTACTCGATAAATCTTTGCCCTCCCTTTCATTCATTATTCTAGATCCATGTTTTCATATACACATTTGCCATCTTTACATTGAAGTCATCAAGCATAAAAGTATACATATGCTGATTTAATTTGGAGGCTCTAAATGAGCCAATAAATTCTTTCTGGAATTACTTTACTCTTCATTCTTTCCAGTGGATGTTGGTTCATAAATTGCAATTATTTTCATGGTGGTCTTTTTGCAAATGAGCTAAATGAGCACTGAAAGCCACCAAGTATCATGATATAATGTTTCTTGCTGCTTTTGGGTGTGCAACAAAACCCACACTGTCAATTCCTTTATGTGCCTTTCCATGGAAAAGACCTGGGAAAGTCCTTAGCTTAAAAAGGCCAAGGTCTCCCACTGCACCAGGGCCATCGCCAGTTATCCTGATCTATATCTTGCTACTGGATCCAGATGGCTCTGGAGGAGAGAGTAAGGCTGGTGACTTTGTACAGTCCTTCCTCACTTAAATCCAATTCACTTACAAGTCATGGCATCACCTTCCTTCTGAGCTCTCCTTCCATTTAGCCACATCTTTATTTCCTCTTGTTTTGTTTATGGTGAGAACATCAAGATTGATATGGTTCAGTTCTTATAGTCATATGTCCACTCACTGATTATTGGACAAATAATCTCACATTTAGAGTAATAATTAAATTAAAGTTTATAGACCGCTAAAAACTATGTGATTCTAAGCATCTTTCCCCATCTTTTTGACAACTCTGCAACCATCACTGTGATCATACAGGACTGATGACTATTTTGTATTTTTCTTTGTTTCTTGGGTTGTCATGGCCAAAGAATTTCATCACCAAGTCACCAGCCTTCTGGTAATGAGCCTTTTTGTACTTACTTCATAAAGCTGGTCATTGCAAAATGGATTTGGTTTGTTGCTTGGACAGTCCTGGAAGTCTTTCCACGAAGGTACAACCCGTGAGAAGTTATGCTCTGCTGGCATACCCTTTGAAAAATTTAGGGTCACCTTCATGCCATGATAAGGCATTGAAGTACAACGTTTTGGAGGTATATATAACAACAGTAATAAAAACCACACACATTTCTGATGAAACATACCATGCTTGCTAGGATTCTGATCAAGTGGAGAAGCAGCACTGGATAAATTATCCATTGAATTGGGGTGTGTCCACTGAGGAAGGCGAGACTGAGACTGAGAAGTGTCCTTCACTGATAAACCACCAGTAATGTCCATGCTGTTTACATTCATGTTTGGGTTCAGTCCAGCTGCAACAGAAAGTATATTATAAATATCTCCTATAAAAAGAAAGTCTGTGTTTGAATTTATCTTAGTTTTACTTTAAATTTGGGGGAGGGGAGGGGAATACTTCATGGTTTCAACTCAAATCTCTAATTTATTAAAAAAAAGTAAACGAGGTTTTACCTATAGCTTTTCTTAATGGGATTAAATTGTTATATTGTCCATTCTTTTCAACATTCATAATCTTAACATCTAAGGTTAATCCTAATAAGTAAGTATCCTCTGTTAACAGGATGATACATTTTTAGACAAACAAATACTGAAATACAGAATTCTTAAGACAGAATGGAATTGTGCTAATCACCTACAGGCAGCTACGTGGCTGGATGAAGGAAAGCAAGTTCTGTAGAGACAGCTATCCTGACCAGCTGGGCAGGTAACCCAACTTAGGTGAAACAGCAAAATACTCTGAGTAAGAGACAGCTTCTGACAGGCAAGTCAAATAACAATTATCTCTGTTGAGGTCTGGATGCAGACAACCCAGGATTCTGAAACCAAAAGCCTTGGGTAATAGCAGCATCCCTCAGATCACTGGTCATGCTGCTATTATTGAAGAGAGAAATCATTTCAGGATGTGGGTCTAACTGCTTCACCACCATCAATACCAAATGCTGACTCTCTGCAATCAAAGCACAGGTAAGCCCCAAAGCCCTGGATTGACAGCATAAGGCCCACACAGCCATTATCTTGGGAAGCCAGCCTTGTGGAAATGTGACTTGTTAAGTGCTTTCATGAGCACTTATAGCCAAAGTGACTGCATACCTAGAAATGAAGGATCTTACCACCAAACTTATTCACACTGTCAAAAGGTCCAACACCAGAAATGGATGTGATTTTATCAGAGGAAATTACATTAAAAATATTGCATTATCATGGGCTTAGCCCTAGTACCCTAAGGATCATGGAACCTTTTAGGAAATAGCTGGTGGCATAATGGATAGAATGTTGGGCCTGGAATGAGGAAGACCTGAGTTCAAATTTGGTTTTAGATACTTCCTAGCTGTGGGAGTCTGTGTAAGTCACTTAACCTCTGTTTGCCTCAGTTCTTTAACTGTAAAATGGGGATAAAAATAGCACCGACCTCACAGTATTGTTGTAAGGATCAAATGAAATATTTGTAAAATTGCTTAGCATAGTGCTGGCAAATATAAATGTTTTTTCCCTTCCTCTTCCTTTCCATCTCACTTGCAGCTTTGAAATCTTATATATCTGTTGTCTCCACCATTCAAATGTGAGCTTCTTAAAAGCAGGGACTATTTTACCTTATTTAAAACAGTGCTTTGCCATAGTAAACATTAAATACATGCTCTTCATTTATTCATTCATTACTCACTCATCTAGCTTGTAGGAAGTAAGGATAGATATCAAGTTGAAAAGAAGAGTTGTAAAATTGCAAGAGCAAACATTCACAGCCAAGTAAAAACAATAGTTTTTAAGAAAGAACATTAGGCAATGTGTGTAAATGTTATATAAATTCCAGGCAGAAGAAAGCTAAAAGTTATGGGCTATCCTGCTTAGGTAGGCTATAATTTTAAAAGAATAAATCTGTTTACCAAAGGCAGGCTAGCTGTAAATGAAGTTAAGATTATGTTTTGGTGTTAAGTTTGATACAAAACTACTTATTTCTTGAACAAGCCTTGCATTTTTATGTCTCTGGCTTTCTCTATGCTATTCCCTCCATTCAGAATGTCCTTCCTCCTCCAGTTCTGTCTGACTGATTCCTCCCCTTTTCCCAAGGGCCAGCTCTAATGTCATCTTCAGGGAAGTGCTTTCTGATCTCCACTACCAGAAATAACTTCTCCCTTAGTACACTTGGAGCTCTATCATGAACTAGAAGTGTCCCTAGACATCATCTAGACATGGAGTTCTTTACCTGAGGTCTCTGTGTGGTTTGTCTTTCATTCTCGAAGAAGACCATGATATCAGGAAGATGATGCCATGACTTACAAGTGAATCTGATTTGAGTGAGGGAGAGCTATACAAAGTTACCAGCCTCACTTTCTCCTCCAGAGCTACCTGGGTTCAGTAGCCAGATATAGATCAGGACAACTGGAGATGGCCCTGGGATCCCTGAATTTGTTTTTAGAAAAGATTTTAATAACTTTATTACAACATAATTAATTTTTAAAAAATAAGCCTGTATTTTGTTCATTTAAAAACACTATTTTAAGAAAGTCATAGGCTTCACTGGTGATTGCCAAAGAGGTCCATGACATATAGAGAAACTTAAAAACCCCTATTTAGTTCAACTCCCTCATTTAACTGGAGGAAATTGAGGTACAGAGAGGTTATGGGACTTGTCCAAGGTTACATGGAAATAAGAAGCAGAATAGGGATGTGAACCAGTCCCAATTTTCTAACTCTAGAGTCTGTTTTTACTTTCTATTTTCCTACTCAGTCTCTTAAAATAAAATTTCCTTCATTTTTATGAGGAAACAAATTTAGGCCCAAAGAAATCAAATGATCTGCTGAAGACCACACAGGTGGTAAACAGCAAAACTACAATCGTTCTGAACCTGGGTCCTCTGACTCCAAATTTAGTGCTTTTTTACCTGTACTACACACCTGCTTCCTATAAACACTAAGCTCATCTATTAAGTATGATAAAAAAGATTCAGAGTTTTAGTGGTCCAATTTACTTCCCTAATTTTAAAGATAGAGAAACTGAGGCCCAGAGAGAGTAACTGACTTGTCCGAGGTCATCCAGCACCTCTCACTTTTAAGTCCATGCCCTTTCATGCTAGACTATGATTATTTTTTTTCCCAGGATTACAAAACTAGTAAACGATGGAAATACTATATTTAGTATACCTAGATTTTAGCAAAGCATTTATAAGGTCTCTCATTTTATCCTCATGGAAATCCCCAGGGGGAAACAAATGAGCTAGGCTTCCAGCATTACTGCTCATAAGCCCCAAATGTTGTGTTTTCCATAAACAATCAGCTGGACTTAATTAGCTTTTTTTTTTTAAAAGCAAAGAAATTTATAAGCAAGAAAGGTTGTTTAAAAAATTCTCTCCAAAAGGCTGAGACACATTCTCCCACACATTGGCCTGGGGAGAATGGGCACAAATTTAAAATACAAAAGGAGTGAGGCATATATGGAGAGAATTCATGTGCTATTAGAAGTGCATGTCACAACTCCTGGTTATAGAGGCCTCATGAAGTTTACCAGAGATGTTACCTCTTCTGAGCTTTGAGAGTTGGTATTTTGTTGAGCCCATGGCCATCCTTCTTGATGACAATAAGAATCAGATTCAGTGAAGCTGCCTTTTTTATGTGTGCTTATTACTCCTTGGCTAGATATTTTCTCTTACTAGTCTAGTCTTTCTTTTTAAAAATAATTTACTTTTAGTTTTTAACATTCACTTCCATAAGATTTTGAGTTTTAAATTTTCTCCCCCCCAAGATGGTGTGTAATCTGACATAGGTTCTACTTAAACATTCATATTAAACATCTTTTCACATTAGTTATGACGTAAAGAAGAATTAGAACTAATGGGAGCAACCACGAGAAAGAAGAAATAAAACAAAACAACAAAAGAAAAGGAGAGCAAATAGTATGCTTCCATCTGCATTCAGACCCCATGGTTCTTTTTCTGGATGTGGATAGCATTTTCCATCATAAGTTTTTTGGAGTTGTCTTAGATCCTTGCTTTGCTGAGAAGAGGTAAATCTATCAAAGTCCATCATTGCACAATGTGGCTGTAAATGTTCTCTTGGTTCTGCTCATTTCATTCAGCATCAGTTCGTATAAGTCTTTCCAGGTTTTTCTGAAGTCTGCCTGCTCATCATCTCTTATAGCACAATAGTATTTCATTACATTCATATTCCACAACTTTTTCAGCCATTCCCCAATTGATGGGTATCCCCTTGATTTCTAATTCTTTGCCACCACAAAAAGAGCTGTTATAAATATTTTTGTATGTGTTGGTCCTTTTCCTTTTTTTATGATCTCTCTGGGATAGAGACCTAGAGGTGGTATTTCTGGGTTAAAGGGTATGCACAATTTTATAGCCCTTTGGACATAGTTCCAAATTGCTCTCCAGAATGGCTGCATCGGTTCACAACTCCACCAATAATGTATTAGTGTTCTAATTCTTCCACACCTTCTCCAGCATTTATCATTTTCCTGTTTTATCATGTTAGTCAATCTGATAGGCGTGATGTGGTACCTCAGAGTTGTTTTGATTTGCATTTCTCTAATCAACAGTGATTTGGAGAATTTTTTCATATTGGTCTAGTCTTTCTAATGACAGTTAATGGTGGGAAAAGGAAGAAGAGAGGAAGTGGGGTATGGAGAGAGAAGAAGAGACATGAGAGAGAGATAGTGTTTCTAGAAAATCAACTGGTGTATTTTTGGCAAAGTCCATAATCTCAAATTCTGGACAGTTATTTAGTGACTTGGGGAGGTTTCTTTTCCAGTGCTTTTCCAGTGCCTTACACTAAAGCTCCGAATTGTTTTTGTGGCACAGTTTATATATAATTGGAGAATTAACATTTTCCCATACTTCCAAATACATAGTGATAAAACTTAAACATAATATTTTACTAAGTCCCACAAGTTACCAGTTGTCTTAGTGCTTACAAAAATATTTTCCAACCTAAACATATGAGAAGAAAATCAGCCCTCAATCCTCTGAAGGAAAAGTCTAGTCTTTACAGGGCTCCCAGAATACTTGGGACTCTCCCAACAGAAAAGGACCTGAGGGTGACTATAAGTCATTCTCTTTCATTCTTCAGGTGAGAAATCAATCACAGCACCACTGGCAAGAGGTTGCAGGACTTGGCACTTTCTCACTGCCTGTCACACTGAAGGACTCCTCTGTTCTGGGCTTTGTCAGGTACTAAGTGCTACAACATATTAGTACTGGGTCCAGGGACCTAAAGTATTCATTCTCTCTATTTTCCCACGAGAAGCTCCTGTGGACCTACATGCACAAACCAGGTTTAATCGTGGAAAATT